GGGGGGGGGGGGGAGAATGAGAATCAGCCAGTCACAATGCTCTGTCTGTGCGTCTAAGTCAACAGCTTGAGTACTGACCGGGTTGCCAGGGCCGCTGCCGCCGCCGATCTGTCGCTGGCTGCAGAAGACCTCAGACAGCACCCGGTGGACCCTCGCCTCGCCCTCGCCCTCCCGCAGAGGCAGCGGCGTGGCTTCATATACCACAAAAAACTCGCCGGCGTCGTTGCCCTCTCGCCTGCACAAAGGCAGAATCACCCCACTCGCCGTCACCACACCCAGCCCCAGCACCCTCTCGCCGTCGTCACCACACCAGTACTCCACAACGTCCCCTTCCCCCAGCAGCGGAGGCGCACCCACCTCATAATAAGCAGCAGCGCCTTGCTGTGTGTCGGGTGCTGAGTTCAGGACGCAGTGGCGCTGCTTCCGTCTGTCGAGCGGTGCGAGGCCTGTGAGGAAGAGGGAGGGGGAGAAGGCGGTGGTCGGCAGCAGCAGGGTGGACGAGGTGAGGACGACAGCCGAAAGCCAGAAGATCATGACGGCTCACTCACGCAAAGAGGGCCCCCATCATCTGCAGATCTGGGCAGGCAGGCCCTGCCGCCCACTGACTGGTCGGCCACGAACGAGATCTTACTCAGCTGAATGAATGAATACAGAGAGGGTGGCAGATCTCGCAGAGCTTCCGGCATGTCATCGTTCTGGAGCTCACTGGCAGAAACAAAAGAGCATGGCGGGAGGGTGCGTGCCGCCAAGCGATCGGGTAAACTCTTGAATCATCTTTGGCAGCCGTCACTGGGCGTGAGATGAGAGCGGCTTGACGCCCTCTGCGATGAGCTGATTCATTCCCATCGTTGAAAAGAGACGGCGAGCGGCATTCGCGTTCGCCCTCCTCCCTCCCTCCGTCGGGTGCGGGTGCAGGGAGGTCCTCCCCTCAGCTGCTGAGGCGTGTAGGTATTGGTGTTGGTCAGTGAGTATGCCGAAGGAGAAGAGCATAGAGGAGCGGTACCAGAAGAAGACCCCCATAGAGCACATCCTGCTGCGGCCCGACACCTATGTGGGCAGCAACGAGCACCACCAGCAGCAGATGTGGGTCTACGACGCTACCAAGGACAAGATGGTCTATCGCAACATCGACTACGTCCCCGGCATCTACAAGATCTTCGGTAGGGGAAGGGGAGGGCAGATCTGCCGGGAAATGGGTACACATGGATGAGTGTGTCATGTGTGTGTGTTGCTGTGGTGTGTTATGGTGTGTTGTGTTGTGGTGTGTTGTGGTCTGTTGTGATGTGGTGTGTTTTGGTGGTGCAGATGAGATCTTGGTCAATGCGGCGGACAACGTGCAGCGTACGCACCCACCGACTCGAGTGCGGCAGTCGGGTCGGATGCAGTCAGTGTTGTGTGTGGCATGACATGTGCTGTGTGTCAGGTACTGACAGGATGAAGATGACGGCCATCAGGGTCAACATCGACGCAGCCAAGAACACCATCTCGGTGGGGTACACACACAGGGAACCCCACCCCCTCCTCACACAGACGTGTGCCAATGTGTCACCCAACTCTGCCGCTCTTGATCTCTCTCTCTCTCTGTGTGTGTGTGTGTGTCCTCCCTCCCTAAGGTCTGGAATGACGGCCGCGGCATCCCGGTAGAGATCCACAGGGAGCACCAGATGTACGTCCCCGAGCTCATCTTCGGCCACCTCCTGACCTCGGACAACTACGACGACACCGAGAAACGCGTCACAGGCGGCCGCAACGGCTACGGCGCCAAACTCACCAACGTCTTCTCCACCGAATTCACCGTCGAGTGCCTCGACGCCAAAAACGGACGGTCACTGAGGGAGGGAGTGGGAGGGAGTGGGATGCAGGGCTGGGCGGGGGAGAGGAGAGGGCGGATGTGTGTGTGTGTGTGTGTGTGTGTCAGGCGGTTCAAGATGACGTGGACAGACAACATGACCAAGCACAGCGAGCCGGAGATCGAGGACACCGACGAGGAGAAGGACTTTGTGCTCGTGACGTACAAACCGGACCTCAAAAAGTTCAACATGACCAAGTAAGTAAACAGCCATCCAACCAGCCAGCCCTGCAGAGACCACACACACCACAGACACACAGACACACACTCAGACGTGTTGTGGTTGCGGTGGGTGTGGTGTGGTTGTGGGGGTGATGCTTAGGCTGGACGACGATGTGCTGTCGTTGATGACCAAGCGTGTGTGGGACGTAGCGGGGGTTCACGCTGGCAATCTCAAGGTCGGCCTCCCGTCAGCACAGCAAACACACAACACAACCGACCCACCCCACACACAGTGTGTGTGTGGGTGTGTGTGTGTGTGAAGGTGTACCTGAACAAGACCAAGCTCAAGTGCAGCTCGTTCCAGGAGTACGTCGACAAGTACATTCCCGAGAAGTGAGCGACCGAGCGACCGACCGAGCCGCCGCATAGCGCACACCACACCACACCACACCACACTGCACACTTACACACATGGATGGATGGACGAATATCACCTGGCGGCTGCTAAGTTGCTGTGTGGATGCTGGATGCAGGCAGGCTGAGTTGCCCAAGATCCACGAGAAGGGCCCGAGGTGGGAGGTCGTCGTCACCCTCTCAGGTGAGTATACACACACACACACACACACACCACCCACCACTCCGCCGAATGTCTGCACTCCTGTATCTCCCCTTGTGTGTGGGTGGGTGTGTGGGTGTGGGTGGATGGTGTCTATCAGAGGGTTCGTTCGGCCAGGTGTCGTTCGTCAACAGCATCGCCACCATCAAGGGCGGCACGCACGTGGCCTACGTGGTGGACCAGCTCTGCACAGCCATCTCCAAGAAGGTGGGTGCGCCTGTCGGTCTGTGCGGTGGCAGATCCACACTCCTCTCTCTCTCTCTCTCCCCTCTCTCTCTCTCTGTGTGTGTGTGTGTGTCGATGTGTGTGTGCAGGTGTCGCAGAAGAACAAGAACGGGGTTGAGGTCAAGAATATGCACATCAAGTACGCAATCACACCCACAAACACCCAGAGACAGACAGGCAGACAGACAGAGGGCACAGCCATCGCTGCCACTGTGTGTGTGTGGCAGGAACCACCTGTGGGTGTTCATCAACTGCCTCATCGAGAACCCTGCATTCGACTCGCAAATCAAGGCAACGAACACACCCAACACACACACACGCACACGCACGCGCCTCAGGTGCTCACACCTCTCTCTCTGTCTGTGTGTGTGCAGGAGACGTTGACGACCAAGCCTGCCAAGTTCGGTTCGACCTTCACCATCTCTGACAAGGCCCTCAAGCAGGTCTGCAACTCGGGCATCGTCGACAACGTCCTCCTCTGGGTACGTACGGCTGCAGTGCACACCTACACAACACACACACACACACTCACTCACCGACCCTCCCATGCGGCTGTGTGTGTGTGTGTGTGTGTGTGTCTGTGTCTGTTTGCAGGCCGAGGGCAAGAAGACCTTAGATCTGCAGCGCAAGATGAAGACCGGCGGCACCAAGGGACAGAAGCAACTCACCGGTCGGTCAGCCAGCCAGCCAGCCAGCCACACACACGCACACCAGCACTCACTCATCCGTGTGTGACATGCCCACTCCCCCACTCTCCCACTCCCCCACTCTCCTCTCTCTCCCTTTGTGTGTGTGCAGGCATTCCTAAGTTGGAGGACGCCAACGACGCTGGCGGCCGATACGCCGAGCAGTGCACCCTCATCATCACTGAGGTGGGTGAGGGAGGGAGGAGAGTGGCTGGGTTCGGGGGGAGGGAGGGAGTGAGGGGTCCCCTCTCCACACACACAACGAGACGCCATCCATCCATCCGTGGAGTGTGTGTGTGCGTCTGTGTGTGTAAAGGGGGACTCTGCCAAGACGTCGTGCATAGCAGGGTTGTCGGTGGTGGGCAGGGACAGATACGGCGTCTTCCCGCTCAGAGTAATACCTGCACACGCGCACACACGGAGGAAGGCAACACACACACACAGACACACGGGATGGTGTGTGTGTGTGCTGCTCGTTTGTCTGTTCGTTCGTTCGTTCGTTGGCTCGTGTGTGTGTGTGTTTGTGTGTGCTTTGTTTGTGTAGGGCAAAATGTTGAACGTGCGTGAGTGCAAGAACAACCAGGTGACGGCCAACCAGGAGCTCACGAACCTGCTCAAAGTCATGGGACTGCAGGTGGGTGGGCAGCACATCCACA